TCCTATTTCTGTAAGCGAGCACCCATACATAACCTGTCTTTTTTTGCAAGCCATGTTATGAAAGCAAAACGCGGAACACCTTGGGGAAACCAGATTATGTAACTCCACTGTTGCTATCAGGCCCGGCCCGTCTATAAAGCAAGCAAATCACTTGGTTTAGGCCACAAACTATATAACAAAGTTAAGGGCCACATTTTTGAAAGTCTATATTAGTTTAGTGGTCATGTAGACATGGAGTGTTTGTGAGTTCGAGTCCTTTCATAGGCATATATTTATTTTTCTTTTTTGGTTAATATTTTTCACTTTTCAGTATATATATATATATATATATATATATATATATATATTTTAATTATCTCCTTATTTTTCTCTTCACGGTAGTTTCCTTTACTTTACCTATATATTTTATTTTATTTGCTTAATAAGTAATAAACTTTTATTAAACAAACCTCATAACTATAATTTTGGAATATTTCGGTGGTCCACATCGAGTTTTTCTCTCTTCTTCCAGACAAGTCTGCTATTTAACATTTTTGTCTTCGACCGGCGCTTGTGAGCGACCATATTCACGGTGTCGGTTCGGTTTTTGACTTACGCTTAGTTAATTAGCTTTGTTTTCATGTTTTACGTTGTTATAACATATAATAACTATTTTCATCAAATATATTTATTTATTTCTAACACTTTTTTCAGTTGTTTAATGTTAAATTTTATCGTTACTATTTATATAAAAGGCCACATTTTATAAATATGTTTTAGGCCACATACATGTTAGGACCGGCCCTGGTTGCTATGTACTTCGAGTTCACAGTTGTTCTCATCTTTTTGCTCAACATGTCTGTCCTGATCTGCTCAACCAGCTAAGACAAGCAACTTGCCTACAATGCATGAATCTCCATAAGCCTACAGTAACAGAACAATCTGTAATTTTGACTTGAACATTAAATATTTAGTAAGAAAATTTGATGATAAATAACAAAAATTATAGATAAATTCACTTCTGAAAACGATATACATAAATTCAAATGTCTGGTTAAGAAGTATTAACTATATATACTTGGTTGTATCATTACTTTTGGTTTAATGAGAAATTTCACACTTAATTCTAAGTGTTAACATGGTATCAGAAAAAAATAATTTTCTCATTCCTATTTTCCGGAAAAGTGATTAACAGAAAACAGAAATTCTGATCTTATTCTTCTTCCATCTTCTTCACAAAATTTCTTCATCGATCTTCAATTCATCATCATCTTTATCATCTTTCATCTTTTTCTCCATCGATTCATTGATTTTTCAACTCAACGAGCTCATCGAAAATTGACTCGTTATTCGTCATCTTCTTCTTTTTCTCGCCACATCATAATCACTTTTCTTGGAATTCATTCTTCCGCTACTTGAATCAACTTTGTTTCTCTCAATCGATCTAATCTTGATCAAATCTTGATCTGTTTCAAAGTTTTTGTGATGATTTCTGGTGAATCTTCCCGTCCGACGATGGATCAATATGATAATCCATACTATCTTCATAATTCTGATCATGCGGATTGGTTTTGGTGTCAGATCGTCTTGCAACAGGCGCAGATTTCAATTCTTGGCGATGATCAGTACGTATGGCGCTGTTTAGCTCTGTTTTCGCATTTTCACAATCAATATAAGACTATCAAAATGAAGATGACGCAAATATGTTGAAAACTTATAAGAAATTTGGTTTCTTTGATTAAAAAGTTTTAGATGATATTACAATAGAATTTTTGGAACACAACACAACAACTGTTTGATACAATAAAAACTAGATATGAGTTCTAACGAAAATTCATATTTGAAAATAAAACACTAAAATCATACATTATAACAATAAATTAAATATAAATAAATATATCTATATATATATATATAGATCTGTATGATTATTAATTTATGATATTAAAATGACCACTTTTATGATTAGGAGGTTCGTAGACCGTGGGACTGTACATCTCCTTAGATTAGTTCATACCATGTAATTTAACTCATTTTTGACCGTACATCACCAAGTATTTTTTTCGTTGATACGTAGTGAAAATTTTACTTGGAGAACACAGTTTATTGCATTTGCTATTCTTTCTTTATCTTTACTCATATTGACAACTCTTTTAAGTTATTCTGATTCTACCATTTTCTTTGGTCAACCAAAGATCTTTATTCCATAAATTAACTGATTACAAACACAAAACATATCACCGGAATAGCCTAGAGGAAAATTCTAAAGGCTGAAATAGTAGAGCAAGCAATACAATCTAGGGATAAAGCTAGACACAAACTGATAGAAATTCGATAGATCGTTAGGATAGATGTCGAAGCGGCCTAGTGCTTCAAAACACTTTTTAATTAACAACAACGGACATAAGAGTGTATTTAACTTAACATGTGACTTTGAGACATGGTCCATAAACTCGGTCCTCTGATCGCAGCGGATTGTTTCACGTTGTGTCTACCGGTCCTGTGTCGACCATTCCATTAGAGCACGCAGGGCCGGCCCTTGGCTAAAGCCCCTGAAGCAAAGGTTTTAGGCGCCAAAAATAACCTATATATATTAGGGGCAGCATCTCGGTACAAAAGTTGCTTCATGGTCTAGTGGTAAAGATAATTTTCCCTTACACACACATCCTGAGTTCGATTCCTTAGACTGATTTTCTTTTTCTGCTTTGGGCAGCAAATGTGATTGGGCCGGTCCTGAGAGCACGAATCGGTTAGAACACAGCAATTTCTTAGGCATTGAAACCGAAAGAAGGACACTTCTCCAAGAGAGGGGTAATGGCAGAAAAGTATTCTCCTTTAAAGAAGAAGTTTGATAACAACTAGGCAGTGAAATAGTGTTAAAATACCTGAGAGACGTTGATAGCGATGACGGGCAGGAGATCGGACCAAGAGGACCAAGATCCACAACATAGATAATACGCCAGGCCCAAAAAAAGGCCCACTAAAGAGTATGCCCACTTTTGAGGGAACTGAGATTAGGAAGAGGAAGAGGAGAGGGATCGGATTTCTGTCGAATATTTTGCCGAGAACAGGCCCCAAGACGCCAAGACGGCAATGTTTCTGGTGACAGAGAACGCCACCGAGGAGGAGGTTCAATCACCAACTCAATAAAATATATGTTTCCCTTTAGGCTTTACACAGTCAACAGTGTCGGACAAGCATATAATTTTTAAAAGCAAAACAATCAAGACGTTAAAACACTGTAATTTTTAGTGTTTTGGACAGTATCACACCTGTCCATAAAACAATAAATGAAAATCATGAGTAAAATAATATTTTAATTTTTAGTGTTTTTATCAATTAAAAATAAATATACCATCAATATGTTTATATCTTTTCATTTTAAAAAATATAAAATTTAGTTGTAAATTAACATGAAATTTTAATTTGCACAATCGCAGTGGTCTAGTTTACGACATGAATATACACCAATTGTGACGTCACTACAAGCTAACCAACCTTGTTTATATACTATTGCAAATGGCCATGAGTAAAAAAGTCTACGAGGGCGCACAAATTTTTTAAACCAAACACAGATGGTGTAATGAAAGGAAAAATTTTCCTAAAAAAGAATGTATGTAAAAAAAGAAAAAAAAAGTTCATTAAATTAATCCTCTCTTCTTCTAATTTTGTCCTAACCATGTCAACATTCAAAAGCTCGCTTCCCCCAACAAGCTTCTAGTCCAATTGAATCAAAACCGAGTCTAACATTAAAGAGTTATTGAAACGGAGTCGAACCATAAACTAAAGTCAACTTTTTTACTTGGTTTGCCTTAAACATGATTATTATAAGGTGAGCATAAAACAGAAACCCACATGTATATATTTAAATAAGCATTGACTCAATGCTCCATAAGATATTATTCCAATTTTTATAGTCGCCAACATAGTAGAAAGACTATGACACAAGCTTTAGGGTTTTATGCTTTAAAAGTATCCACAAAAGCTAGATGTAGAGTATGAAATGAGGTCATTATATCCACACACACATATATAGAACATATTTATGTAGATGTCGTACATAGAGATAGAGAGCAAGAAGGCGCATGGCGAGGCACCGTGAGAGTGTGCATGAACTGTTCCCACCACGTGTGAAACGTGAGTTGCGACTAACTTCCATGAGGTTGGCTCACGTGCGGGCCATGACTCGCCACGTTGTACAAATTTGTGGTCATATCCGTGTCCAGGTCACACTTGCACTCTCTTAGCTTTTCACAAAGGGCAAAGAAACCAAAAGATGTCGTAGATAGAGAGAAACAAAAGGAATATTAATTTTTTCTTTTTGGTATTTCACTTGTCGTTTTTTTGTTGTTGTTCAAATTCACTTGTCGTTTTATGTGTCTAATTAAGCATGTTGATTATCAATTCAATGTGGTGCCTTTGATTATGTATAAAATTGTGTGTCTTTTTTTTTTGTATTTGAGAGCAAAACATGCATGTGTGTTTATGACTACATATATAGACGCACATTGACGTCCTATCAAGAAGAATTAAGTCAAGTGTAAATAGCAAAAAAAAAGTAATATAAAGTTAAGAGTATTGAGTCAATGTTCGTTCAACTCTATGTCTCTATCTATGACACAATGGTTTTGACCTTATAGTTATAGATTTGATTTTCTTAAAAGAAAATATCTTATTGTCAGATCTGATGATAAATTTCTAAACAGTGAACTTTATACATTTTCATTTCATAGCTCGAGACTGTAAATAGAGTATATATATATAGTCTATTACAATAGCTATCAGTTTTTTTTTTCTTTTTGTTCTTAGTTACCTCATACTTTTTTCTTATAACGATTCCTATAATTAGACTGGACAACAATGAGAACTTCATGATCACGTGAGAATAAATATTTTCTTTTCTTTTCTCATAAACTAAATAAATATTATTTTCTAAAACTTTTAATATTAACCTTACAAAAAAGCGTGTGCTGTTGATTATTCTTGAGAATCTATACCAGAAATTGCTATAAATTGAGAGGCAATTCATGAGCTCTATAACTGCAACCAACACTAAAAATCCTCTAGTAAATCAGAAACACACAAAACCCTAGTTAAAAATGGCAGTGATGAGTCACAACAACGCAGAAGGCAGGCTATACGAGTCAACCCGGACTCGGCCGATTCCTTACTTACAAACTGGTGGCCAAGAGAACGGAGGAGACGATGATGACGACGACTGTGACGTTGCTCCGGCGGCTTGATCATGTGCATATTATCGTATGCTACTATAAACTTAAATAACCGCCATTTTATTATGTAGTAGTTGTGCTTCTTGTCATAGAACCACACACACACATGTAGCTGAAGTAGTAGATCGTGCCTGTATTTATCCATGTCGCAAACAGGCTTTTATTATTTACTAGATAAACAACATTTTTGACTTTGGAGTGTTGAGAGACTAGCTAGCTTTAATTAAGTAACAATATATATAATGTATCGTGTGTCTATTATTAATGAAATAATATTACATTATGTACACAAGATTTGTGGTTATAGTATGATCAACACTATATATATACTTATGATTCTCATCTTCCTTTTATCTTTTTCTTTTGGCTTTTCTTTTTGTTAATATTAGCTGGAAAATTTTAAAAATGTACGTTTTGTTCTCATCTTCATTTGCTCAGCCTTTTGTGGCCTCTACCTCTTAGGACCACTTACTGCAAATTTTAGCAAATTACAATATATGACTAGCTAAAATGTGAGGTATATTGAGAAGTGAGTTCTTAAAATTACTTGGACTTGTATACTTCGAATTTGAGACATAAGTACAATTGATGTTAATCTAAAAGTGTAGAACATTGTTAATTTCTTGAACAGCTGTTAGCTAACAATGACCGATGATGATCATTGATCGAAGAGGCGATTTTGTTGCACATCGATCAGTTGATCTCTTGGCGAAGTACTTGATCAACCTGCTAGTCGAGCACCAGATGATCAGATACTTCAGAAGCATTCAACACCACTATGGTTATCCCAATTAGTAAGTACATGTATGTATGTTGTATGTGTATGTACGTATGTATAATTGTTTGCATGTATGTATGTATATATGTACGTACGTATGTATGTATGTATGTATATATATATACATATATATGTATGTATTATGGATTTATGGGTACATATATATTAGAAAATAGTCATATACTATTAAGTTTCAAGTCGTATAGTATTGGAAAAATTATTCGTAACTATCAAAAGCGCTTTTCATTTTCTATCTGAACCTAATAATGCCTAGCGAGTTGAAACAGCGCTACCTAATAGTCTGATACACAATCGTCAAGAACAAAATAATACAACGAAAATGTAACGTCCCTTGGATATGAGATCACTTCTTTATATATATAGTATGAGATCACTTAAAGCATCTCCAATTCACCTCTATTTTTTTCTCTATACTCTATTACATAGTAAAATTCACTCAAACTCACCTCTATTTTCACCTCTAAAATAGAGATCTCTATTTTTTCCTCTATATTTTTCTTCTATAATAGAGTTAAAAATTTTAGAGGAAAAAATAGAAAAATACATTGGAGTAAAACTTACCTCTATTATAGAGTTCTTCTATTTTAGAGGCAAAAATAGGGAAATACATTGGAGATGATCTTAGAAGTTAGAGTTATTTAAGTTTCATAAGATTCTAGTCCTTATAAAATTGGGCTCTGAGGTGTAATGCTTTTTTACTCTTTTGCATTCAATAGAATAAATTTTTTTCAGAGAAAGAGAACAGTGTCAAAATATAACAAAATTATTTCTAACTTTTTAAATATGTGTATATTTATTTTCTAAATTTTGGCCTATACTTACTGTGAAAATAATATATAAAATATTAAGTGCTTACATGCATGAATATTAAATTTTATCTAATAAAAACTAAAAATTTATCAGAACAGATAATATTGATTTAGCTTAATACAAAAATCTATTACTACTAAAATTTTGTATTTACAGATAAAACTCATTAAAAATCAAACTTAAGGAAAAAATATAAGAATGATTTGTTTTTTATTCAAAATTTTTTATGAAAAATTAATACGAATCATAATAATGCAGAAATATAAAATATTTTTTTTTTGTTCTCCATTATAATAATTATAATAACAATAGATATATAGAGATTTAATAAAATGAATTTTTTCATGTCAAATAAGATATATATATATATATATATATATATATATAATATATTTAAAAGGCTCATCGTCAAAACATATTTAAAAAACACAACCAAAGATGGTTTTTCAAATTAGATTAGTTTTAATTTGAAGTAATATATATATATATATATGTAACAAACGACGGTAAATAAGAAAAATTTTAGATATATAAAAATTTCATAAAGTAATTTATGAAAATGTTAGATATATATTTATATACATATGTAACAAACGACGGTAAATAAGAAATATTTCAAATATATAAAAAATTCATAAAGTAATTTAGGAAAATGATTTTTTTAATGCTATATGTTTATTAAAAATTTTAATTATTAAAACAATTTGTTTTTAATTAAAAAGAAATCTTAGTGCATGCTGTACGGCTGATTTTTCCAAAAAAAATGTATTCTTAATTGAATATATTTATTAATGAGGATATTTTTAATTTCGGAAATAAAGGATAATTTATTTCTTACAACTTATTCATGTTGCATAACGAGATGAAAGTGAAAACATGTTACATAACAGAAGATGGAAATGCAATGAGAGGAAACTTGCGGCAAACATCGATACCAACGGCTTCAGCTAGATCAGGTTGATCCCCATTTGGTCCAGCCTCTACCTTCCAGTCAAATCGGCCTACAAGGTTGGCCACGGTCACCTCTGCCAAACCCAAAGCAAGATTTATCCCGGGACAAATCCTTCTCCCTGATCCGAATGGAATGTAGTTCAGATTTTTTCCGTGATAATCCAAAGCTGAATCTAAGTGTCTTTCCGGTTTGAATTCTTCAGCATCCGGTCCCCATATTGCGGTGTCTCGTTGGATCGCCCAAGCATTGATGATCACCTATACATGTTTCCATTACAAATTTATCCAAAATCATTAGGATGGTGAAGATTAATTTCAAAAATGTATGCATTCATTTGTAACAAACGTTGTGTTAAGATAAATATAATTTAACATCAATTCAGAAAAAAAGGAAGGATGGTAAACAATTGTTATAATTTATAGCTATTATTAATCAAATTTAGAAAACATTTTTTTTTAGTTTATAACCATGAATAATTAAGACGTATATATATATGTAAAGTTATGTGTGAACGAGTTAATTGCTAGGTTAAGAAAATCAACCGTGATAAAAAAATATTTTAGTTTACCTCTGTCCCTGCGGCTATGTTATATCCCTTTACTTTGACATCTTCACTTAAGAGTCTGGGAAGTATCATTGGAAGAGAAGGATGCAACCGAAGCACCTCTTTAATCACGGCTTTCAAGTATTTCATATTTTCAACTTCTTTTTCTTTTATGTATGAACCATGTGGCCTAATGGTTGACCGAATCTCGTCTTGGAGTTTCTTCATACTCTTTGGACTTCTGATCAGTTCCGTCATTGTCCATTCTAGTAGAGTCGAAGTTGTTGACGTTCCTCCTATAAACATATCCTGATATGAAAGTAGAAAAGTTAGATGTCATTACTCATAAAAATGTTTCATATGTGACCATATATTATAGATGAATTGGCTTATAATGATCCTACGTACCAAGATCATAAATTTGATGTCGTCTCTTTGAACTTGGAATCCATTATTCTTGTCTTTTTCGATTGATAACAATATATCCACGAAATCTGCTTTAGGTTTGTCCGCCTCTAAATGTTCTTGCACCACTTTGTCCATAAGATCGCTAAACCCGCGACTCACTTCCTTAATCTTATTATTGAAACCACGGATCCCATCTATCCATCCCAAAATGGGGACATATTCCCCGATCGGAAACTCGCCTAAAAGCTCCATGATCTGCCTCACTCGCTTCTTAAGATCCCTTGCGGTTTCGTCCTCGCTATGTTTTCTTCCCAAGGCAACCCTACTCGTAACATCGCTTGGTAGAGTAATAAAGATTTCACTCAGATTTTCTGATGAAGAAGAACAACTTGCTTTCTCCAGCTTCTCCATCATTGTAGTTACCTCTTCTTCTCTTACCTTCTCAAAGGATTCAACCATTTTGTTGGTGAGCAGATTGAGAATGCATACACTCTTCATCCAAAACCAGAGTAAAAAAACGTTACTAGTTGATTAAAGGATATAAATACATATTATAATTTGTTAGTGCATGTGTGGGTAATAAGAAGTTAAAGAGGAATAAATATCTAAAAAAGCAAAAAGTTGAAGAGGAATTAAAAAGATCTAGTGAAATACCTTCATCTGTCTCCAATATTCTCCATAGGGAGCAAACACCACATCACGCCCACCATTCATAAGCCCACGAACGGCTTTTGATCTCGGTCGGTTCGCAAACTTATGATCATGTGTTTTCAATACCTCTTGAGCTGCTTCACCGGAGGAGACTACGAGTATGGGGACACGGCCAAAATGAAGGAGCATGAGAGGTCCGTACCTGAGGCTGAGGGACCGGAGGGAACGGTGAGGGTGGAGGCTGAGCTGGTGGAGGTTTCCAATCACCGGAAGTCGCCATGGAGATGGTGGTAGGTTCACTTTAGTGGCGGTTCGTTTGAGGAATTTTCTAAGCAATAGAAGGGTTAAGAGGGTCGTCAAGCACAAAGAGATCATCAGTATCATTTCCATTTTTTGAATATTGCTCATGTAAGAAAGTGTTTGATTGGTGATTTTGTAACTCATCTTCTGCGTGTTATTTATAGGGCGGATTGGAACTCATTGTTTCTGCAACAAGCATGAGTCATCAGTTTAGCTTAAATATAATAATGCAGAATATTCAATTTTCGTTGTTTGTGTACGTTGAAAAGTAATAATCCTATGGTGATATTAGTTTTGGAACTATATATATATCTCCTTCTCTTTTATTGAAAACAAGAAATTTTGGTCGTTATTATGTATTGATTTTTCTTTATAAAAATACACAGTATTGTGAACCGAAAAAGAAAAACACTTTCATTATGACCACGAGTAATATCATTTTAGCTGACTCATGATAGTTGTTATAATTTTGAATGTATTTTGTGTACGTAGAAAAATAACATACCAAATTAGTTTTGGAATAAGACGTAATTTTTATATTTAAGAACTAACATTCATAAGATGAAAAAAAAAAAAAAAAAAAAAAAAAAGAACTAACATTCATATATTAAATAATATGTTTTTTACTAATAAATATCAATAGTTATATAATATAACGAAGAGTCGAGAATAACTATGATATATATGAATGAGAAATTCTTATTAGAATCATTTACGCCAAATTTGATTTTGGTACTTTCTTGTAAGCTTTTTAATCTCTTTCATAGAAAAGTCTAACTTTGATTTAATTTGATATCAGAGATGTCAGAATAATCTTTGAAACTACAG